TTTTAAAAATATATTTCAAATATATTTTTCTTCCATATGAGTACGAGCACCACATATGCAAATATATACCACTCACCAAATTTGTATGACCTCTTATTTCAAAGATGGTCACTCAGGGTTTTTTTTTACTAAAGCTGGAGAGTCCAAAATCAGACTCCCTTCTGCATAGAAACCAATCAGCTTCCAGGTTTCATTGCCAAAGCTTCATTGAACAAGCTGAGGTTAGAAGCTGATTGGTTTCTATGCAGAAGGGAGTCTGATTTTGGACTCTCCAGCTTTAGTAAATAAACCCCTCTATGTCTGATATTCATCGAGTTAAGCCCCTCCAGCACCCCTCTGCTTCCAGTTCTGGTTAGGTCCTTACTTATCCAGTCCTCTGCTCAGCATCAGAGATGAAAAGAAAGCAATCACCGCAGTTTAACATATAATAAAAACACTTTAAATAAAAAAACACTGCACTTACATAAGAGCAGCAAAATCCCATAAGATAAAACACTGGCACTTCTGGGTTCCCCACAGGGTCTGACGTCACGTCCACCTTAATGCGTTTTGTCACAAGGACTTCTTTAGTACACTGTCTCCTGAGGAAGTCCATCTCATTTCAACAAGCAAATGCCAAACTTTTATGGTTACTGCTAAATAAAAAAAAAAAACTCTCTGCCTTTCTAAATGACAAAATGCAACTATTTGTAAAACTCAGGGACCCATAGATACAATACAGCTCGAGAGAAATGCAGAGACAAGCTAAGCTGTCCACACGTAGGATGGACGGAAATTTGATGACTTCTGTTTTAATTTGCTTTCTTTTCTTTGCTTTCTTTTCAATTCTTTTCTTACTTATTGTCTTCTATTCACTGTATATTTGCATGCATACTGTGCTAGTGAAATATATAATGCTAAAAAAACTGAAGTCTGAAAGTGAACGTCTTACACAGGATGTGTATTGTAATATGGGGAGCCTGGAATCGCCCTCCAGCCATATTGGAAAAGGCAACAGTGTTTATTTTTCAAAAAGTTAAATGAAAACAGCATGGAAAAATAAACAAAACGGTCCATGATCCTAGTACACGCCATAAAGGTTTGGCTCACCACCTGCGAAAATTGTCCTTTAAAAGGGTCAAAGTCCCCACCTGCTTGAAGGTCCACCAAAAAGGTCACCAGAGCTCAGCCAGAAAGTCCACAGCCCACCTGCTTGAAGGTCCACCAAAAAGGTCACCAGAGCTCAGCCAGAAAGTCACGCCCACCTGCTTGAAGGTCCACCAAAAAGGTCACCAGAGCTCAGCCAGAAAGTCCACAGCCCACCTGCTTGAAGGTCCACCAAAAAGGTCACCAGGCTCAGCCCAGAGCCCACCTCAGCCAAAAAGTCAGCCACAGTCCCACCTGCTTGAAGGTCCACCAAAAAGGTCACCAGAGCTCAGCCAGGCAGTCCACAGCCCACCTGCTTGAATTTCCTCCAAAAAGGTCACCAGAGCTCAGCCAGACAGTCCACAGCCCACCTGCTTGAAGGTCCACCAAAAAGGTCACCAGAGCTCAGCCAGACAGTCCTCAGCCCACCTGCTTGAAAGTCCACCAAAAAGGTCACCAGAGCTCAGCCAGACAGTCCACAGCCCACCTGTTTGAAGGTAAACCAAAAAGGTCACCAGAGCTCAGCCAGACAGTCCACAGCCCACCTGTTTGAAGGTCCACCAAAAAGGTCACCAGAGCTCAGCCGGACAGTCCACAGCCCACCTGCTTGAATTTCCTCCAAAAAGGTCACTAGAGCTCAGCCAGACAGTCCACAGCCCCACCTGCTTGAAGGTCCACCAAAAAGGTCACCAGAGCTCAGTCACAGTCCACAGCCCACCTGCTTGAATTTCCTCCAAAAAGGTCACCAGAGCTCAGCCAGATAGTCCACAGCCCCACCTGCTTGAAGGTCCACCAAAAAGGTCACCAGAGCTCAGCCGGACAGTCCACAGCCCACCTGCTTGAAGGTCTACCAAAAAGGTCACCAGAGCTCAGCCGGACAGTCCACAGTCCACCTGCTTGAATTTCCTCCAAAAAGTCACTAGAGCTCAGCCAGACAGTCCACAGCCCACCTGCTTGAAGGTCCACCAAAGAGGTCACCAGAGTTCAGCAAGACAGTCCACAGCCCACCTGCTTGAAGGTCCACCAAAAAGGTGGACTAGAGCTCAGCCAGACAGTCCACAACCCTCACATAACTGTGTCCTGTTCCACTCAACACTTCATAGACACCTGATTACGGCTTCCTGACCTTTTCAACAGGTGGGTAACAGTAGCCAGGGTGATTTTTAGGATCTTTCCCACCCAACATCTCCCATACCAGGACCTATCAATCTTAGAAAAATTGTAAGTCAGTTTTCCCCTTTTCGCCAGAACATCCCAGAATCCCTCACCCTGCGTGGGTGATAATCCCTGAGTACTCCCAACTGCATCCTTTTGTCCCTCTTAAAGGGACCACAACCCAAATAATGGGGACACTTATCTCCTATCCAAGAGCCATCCTTGGCATCCTGTACAATATTAATGGGACATAAATTGCCATGCTACCTGTGACCTCGGCACTCTTTGAGAGAGGAGGGTGGGATAGGTAGCACACGTCTCCAGTTTGCTGAGAATTCATTATTTTTATGGAAACAGCCTGATTTGTGTACATTGTAGTAGAAAGAATGCTTGTATATACTTCTGTTCAAACTCAACAATATTAATAAAAATATTAGAAGATAAGCCACAAGCGCAACCTTGATAAAGAAATCCTTCTGTTATTATGTTTATTTTTTCTTTTTATCAAGAAAAAACATAAAGCCTCATCTTCCTTCTTTTCTTTACTTGCGTTCTTGGCCTCCAGAAGGTTTCTTATTGACCCCTACGATGGTCTCAGCGTCTGTCTATCCTTGCTCTGCTGGCAATGAAAGTCCTTGGTGGTAAATGGAATAAACAGACATTGTCCAAGGGACTTGAAGAACAATGTTTTTTTGCATCGTGTAACTCTATCCCTCTAACCCTCACCACAGCTAAGAACGTTTTCAGCAAGTACAGAAAGTAAAGTACTTTGTTGCTCTGAACCAGAAATAATTCCCCCCCCCCCCCCACCGTGTAATGGAGACGGAAGACATGTTTGAAGTCCAGCCTGGGTGGCACACTGCTCCTCCGTAGAGCCAGTGCAGTACGTGGGTCCAGGGGCGGACTGACCATTTGGGAACTCGGGCACTGCCCGAGGGCCCGGGGTCAGTAGGGGGCCCCATGAGATGCCCCTGGTACCTTTCATAGGCTTTTTTTGCGTGTGGTTTGATTGTAGGTGAGGACACAGGGGCCCCATGAACTCCTATTGCCGGAGGCCCCATGAGTTGTCAGTCCGCCCCTGGTGTCGTCACTTTGTTCTCGTTTATATTTGGACGGGAAGGATGTTACTGGCAGGATCATCAGCTAAAAAAATGAAGGAAAAAAAGCATGATAAAAGAACACTAATGCAGACATCACATCGAAAGACTGCAATATATTATATTTTTGGTAGTAGGTAGCTCTAAGGACTGGGTGGACCTTAGGTAAGGTTCAGATACAACATGGCAACAAAGTGTTTTAACTAAAACATTTCTGTATTTTGGACCCAGTGGTGTCATCTCTGGCTCTCTATTCTTCTCTATTATTATTATTATACAGGATTTATGGCGCCAACAGTTTGCTCAGCGCTTTACAATATAACGGGAGACAATACAGCAACAATACAGTTCAATACAAGAGGGTTAGGAGCAGGGGCGGACTGACAACTCATGGGGCCCCAGGGCAATAGGGGATCATGGGGCCCCTGTGTCCTTGCCCAAACTCAAAAAAGCCTATGAAAAAGGTACCAGGGGCATCTCATGGGGCCCCCTACTGACCCTGGGCTCTCGGGCAGTGCCTGAGTTTCCAAACGGTCAGTCCGCCCCTGGTTAGGAGGGGCCCTGCTCTATTCATGATGGGCAGATGATGGCTAGTTGGAGGGGCCAGCAGGGTGCTGTACATAGCTTCCAGAAAACATGACAGCAACCTGCCTCAGCACTTCTCTTAGGAGCCTTGCTGCAAACAATGGGCTGGCTTTGGGAGGATTTATGCAAATATCAAAATGTCTTGAAGGGTGGTTGTCAGTGTGGAGTGTTGGGTGTTGCTAGGCAGGCTGTATTTGCAGATGGACTGCCTAAGGCTCCATTCACACCTATGCAGTTTGCTTTTTGTCCCTTTTGAGGTGCTTTTTGCAGTTTGTTTTGCATTTTTGTACATGCATTTTTTTTATATTTTTTTCACGCGTTTTGCGTTTTGTTCAGCTTTTTTTTTGTTAAAGTGGAATTTTTTTGTTGCTGAGCCGAAATAAGCCTAGATGTGAACATGTTCCATAGGAAAGTATGTTAAATGGACTGTAAAGCATTTCTGCAAAAAGCACTAAAAAACGTACTGGTGTGAACAGAGCCTGAAGCAACATGACACGTGATGCTGAGTCTCCAGTATTGGAATGGCTGAAATCCAATAAATGAAAGGGGAGGGTCGGGGGCAGTCAGATTGCAGAGGAAAGTGCTAGATGATGTTGGATGTCCTCCAGCCAGGAAATATGACAGGCTCTATTTAACTAGCTTCTAATGCACCCTGTGGGACATTCTGGACTCCTTCAAATCCCCTTGTCTTGTAGATGCAAACAATGCTGAGCTGCACACTGTTTACTTTGAATCAGCAAACTTTATTACACAAGGAGCTTACAAAGAGACTCCACCCATGCCCTCTGCTGACACATTCCACCCCCTGCTGGGGCTTGATCATGGACCTCTAAGCGTGTGATATTTTCTTGTTCTTCCCAGGATGCATTGCTCGGCCTGAAGAACCAATCACAGGGCCTGAACATTGCCATATGGGGGGTGGAAAACCCTGTGTAAGCTCTGACATACATGGACATGGAGCTTATACAGGGATTGGACTTGGGGTTCTGAAAAATCGATTGAGAGGTGGAGGAGGATGGCAATGGTATCAATAGGTAGGTGGGGGGGGTGGGGGGTGCTTGCAAGAGTACTTTCATCAGCTTTCAACAGAGCCCCTTTAAAGATATATTAGTATCTCCCATATTTCCTAACTGGTTTTTCAATTACCAAAACCTGAATCCTTCAACTCCAATATGGAAACTTTGACTGGACGGTGGTGCTCTGCTTCCCTCTGGGTTTCTGTAGTTACATTGAAAGGCATTGCAGATTTGAAGGTCGGGATGTCAACTGGTCATAGAGCAGAATGATTTAGGAGAGTGCCCCTGGACATGAAGCCATTGCTGGCCCTCATTATATGCACATCAGTTATTTTCAGGCTGCAGGCCTTCCTGACCACCTCTACAGATGTCTGCTGGCCTTCCAGGGGGGCAGGTCTCCGCTGAGCTGCCAGCACCAGCCCTGGGGACTTCCCACCAACTGGTGTCGTGAGGTCTGCTCTCCATCCCGCTCTTTGTGCCATTGCTCTCTCCGTCCTCTCCTGCCAACGCCACTGGCACAGAGCTGTAATTGTGCTACAATGGCTATTTAAATAGACAAATGCATGCAGCTCGTGTCTCGCTAGGCCGCCGTGTGCTCCTGTCCCTGGAAGGCCTGCTTACAGATGCATCTGAACACAGGAGTTCACCACCTGTGGAGCAGACCCAAAAGATATGTGAATATTAAGTTGTGCCATTCGATACAATATGACACATGCTGGGCCCTACATGGACTGCATGGCAATGCTGGGGACATGATTATACACTCTACATCCAGGGCCAATGAAGGAGGTGTACTACAGACTAGGTATAGGAAGAGAAGAGAAGAAAGGGAGGGAGGGAGGGAGGGAGGGAGGAAGGGAGGGAGGAAGGAAGGAAGGAAGGAAGGAAGGAAGGAAGGAAGGAAGGAAGGAAGGAATAGAGAAGAAAAGAAAAGAGGAACGAATGAGAGGAGGGAGGGAGGGAGGGAGGAAGGAAGGAATAGAGGAGAAAAGAAAAGAGGAACGAATGAGAGGGAGGGAGGGAGGAAGGAAGGAAAAAGAAGGAAGGAATAGAGAAGAAAAGAGGAACGAATGAGAGTAAGGGAGGGATGGAGGAAGGAAGGAGGAAGGAAGGAAGGAAGGAAAGGAAGGAAGGAAGGGAGGGAGGAAGGGAGGGAGGAAGGGAGGGAGGGAGGAAGAGGGAGGGAGGAAGGAAGGAAGGAAGAAAGGAAGGGAGGGAGGAAGGGAGGAAGAGGGAGGGAGAAGAGAAAGGGAGAAGAGGAAGGAAGAGAAGGAAGGGAGGAAGGAAGTAAAGAGAGGAAGGAAGGAAAAGAAGGAAGGAAGGAAGGAAGAAGGAAGGAAGGAAGAGGAAGAAGGGAGGAAGGAAGGGAAAGAAGAAGGAAGAAAAGGAAAGGAAGGAAGGAAAGAAGGAAGAAGGAAGGAATAGAGAAGAAAAGAAAAGAGGAACGAATGAAGGGAGGGAGGGATGGAGGGAAAGAAGGAAGGAAGGAAGGAAGGAAGGAAGGAAGGGAGGGAGGGAGGAGAGGAAGAAGGAGAGGAAGGAAGGAAGGAGTGGGAGGGGGGAGGGAGGGAGGAAGGAAGGAAGGAAGGAAGGGGAGGAAGGAGAAGGAAGGAAAGAAGGAAGGAAGGAAGGAAGGAAGGAAGGAAGGAAGGGAGGGAGGAAGGGAGGAAGGAAGGAAGGAATAGAGAAAAAGAAGAAAAGAGGAACGAATGAAGAGGAAGGGGGGAGGAAGGAAGGAGGAAGGAAGGAAATAGAGGAGAAAAGAAGAAAGAGGAACGAAATGAGAAAAGAAGGGAGGGATGGAGGAAGGAAGGAAAAAGAAGGAGAGGAAGGAAGGGAGAGAGGGAGAGAGGAAAAGAAGGAAGGAAGGAAGGGAGGGAGGGAGGGAGGATGTAAGAGGAAGGGAGGGAGGAAGGAAGGAAGAAGGAAGGAAGGAAGGGAGGGAGGGAGAGGAGGGAAAGAAGGATAGGAGAAGGAGAGAAAAGAAGGAAGGAAGGAAGGAAGGAAGGAGAGGAAAGAAGGAGAAAGGAGGGAGGAGAAGTAGGAAGGGAAGGAAGGAAAAAGAGAGAAAAGAAAGAGAGGAACGAAGAGAGGAAGGGAGAAGAGGGGAGAAGGAAAGGAAGGAAGGAAAGAGAGGAGAAAAGAAAAAAAGAGAACGAATGAGAGAGAGGAGAGAAATGGAGGAGAGGAGAAGGAGAGGGAGGAAGGAAGAAAAAAAGAAGAGAGAGGAGGGAGGGAGGGAAAGATGAAAAAGGAAGGAAGGAAGGAGGGAAGAAAAAAGAAGGAGAGCAAAGAGAGGAAGGAAGGAAGGGAAAAAGAAAAAAGAGAGAGGGAGGAGAAAAGAAGGAGAGGAAGAGGAAGGAAGGAAGGAAGGAAAGGAAAGAAAAAGAGAAGAAAAGAAAGAGAACGAGAGAAAGAGAGAGGAGAGGGAGAAGAAAGAGAGGAGGGAGGTAAAAGCAAGGAGGGAGAAAGGGGGAGAGAAGAGAAAGAAAGGAAGGAATAGAGAAGAAAAGAAAAGAAAAAGAGAAGAAGGAGGAAAAGGGAGGGAGGAAGAAGGAAGGAAGAAGGAAGAAGGAAAGGTGGAAGGAGCAGAAGAAAAGAGAAGGAGAATGAGAGGAGAGGGAGGAGGGATGGAGGAAGGAAAGAAGGGAGGAAGGAAGGAAGGAAGGAAGGGAGGGAGGGAGGAAGGAAGGAAGAGAGAGGGAGGGAGGGAGGGAGGGAGGGGGGAAAGAAGGAGGGAGGGAGGGAGAGAGGAAGGAAGGAAGGAAGTAAAAGTGAAGGGGAGGAAGGAAGGAAAGAAGGAGGAAAGGAAGGAAGGAAGGAAGGAAGGAAGAAGGAAGGAAGGGAGAAGGAAAGAAGGAAGGAAGAAGGAAGAAGAGAGAAAAGAAGAAGGAACGAGATGGGAGGGAGGGAGGGATGGAGGAGGGAAGGAAGGAGAGAGAAGGAAGGAGGAGGGAAGGAGAGAGAGAAAGGAAGGAAGAGAAGGAAGGAAGGGGGGAGGAGGAAGAAAAGGAAGGGAGGGAGGGAGGGAGGGAGGGAGGAAGGAAGGAAGGAAGGAAGGGAGGAAGAGAAGGAAAAGAAGAGGAAGGAAGGAAGGAAGGAAGGAATAAAAGAGGGAAAGACAGAAGGGAGGAAGGGAGGGAAGGAAGGAAGGAAGAAGAATAGAGAAAGAAAAAGAGGAACGAATGAGAGGGAGGGAGAAGGAAGAGAAGGAAGGAAGGGAGGTAAAAGGAAGAGGAGAGAAAGGAGAAGGAAGGAAGGAAGAAAGAAGGAAGGAAGGAAGGAAGGGAGGGAGGAGAGGAATATGAAGAGACTGTATGAGGAAGAAAGAAGGAAAGAAAAAGAGGAAGGACGGAGTACAGGGAGAGAAGGGAGGAAAGAAAGAACAGAAAGGAAAAGGAAAGGCTAAGTACACAGGTAGATACACACTGTATATTGGAGCTGTTTTACCTGCTGTGAAAAGATTTGCAGTTTTGGCCATGTGGAAGTCCTGGAATAACATAGCTCATCCACACAGCAAAGACCTGTCTGGCATGGCAGGAGACCTGATTTATCTCTGCTGAAGTCAAGCAACCCTTATAGGTCTTGTCCCTCCCCCAGCCTGTGACTAGACAGAGAAACAGCTCATCTCTCTGTCACTCTGCTCTCTCCCCCTATCAGCTTATTGCTTGTTAGGACATGAGCACTCCAGTTAGTAACCTGTTGTGTCTTTTATATCTGCCTGGAGTTCTGCTTTAATATCTGTAATTTGCACATCAAACCCGGCTTGGTCCATTGACCAAGCTCCCAGACTGTGTTTATTTCCATAGCTGTGCCTAGATTCATCCTGAGCAAGCTAAGTGCTGATAGCCATTTTCTTTTTGTATTTATTGTAATGATGTATATAGATTGCTTGTGCAGCTGAAATACAACAGAACATTAACTTAATGGAGCCCATTTTTGTATTTCTGATTTGTCTTGTAGCATACAACGCAGTGAAAAATTCCTTTCCGCATCCAACAATGGCGCTCATTGTAAGATGTCATTTGCATGTTTCTTGCCGGAGTCCCGTGCCGCAATACAAACGCTGCATGCTGTGTAATTGCACCTGTAGTCTATAAAGTGGAATTTAGATAGACACACATATACAGTAAGTGCCATTATCACATTTATTTCCTCTTTGTGTGACATCCTTATATTTTAAAAAAGCTCTTATTAATGGTGTAAAGACAGCACAAACTGTTTTATATTGGAGATTCAGGTGTCAGTATAGAGAGCAATGGGGGATGTACAAAGAGCAGTATCCTGCAGCAGCCAATCACAACTAATTCTTGATTGGTGCTTGGCCAACATGGGTGAAGTATGGAACAGAGGGTTATAGAGTGGTCCTCTCTCGCTTATCCTTCTGGCATTTTTCCATTGTTGGTTTCCTCATGCGTTCTCGCTTCTTTTTTTTTTTTTTCCATAAGCCTCCATTCACACCTAGTAAGTGCTTATGGAAGAATGGGTGCTTATCAGGGGGAGCACTGACAACTCATGGGGCCCCGGGAAATAGGGGATCATGGGGCCCCTGTATCCTTGCCCAAACTCAAAAAAGCCTATGAAAAAGGTACCAGGGGCATCTCATGGGGCCCCCTACTGACCCTGGGCCCTCGGGCAGTGCCCGAGTTTCCAAATGGTCAGTCCGCCACTGGGTGTTACTCTAATGAGGTCCATGGAACCAGGAAAACTCACAAAAGGACTCAAGAATAGAGCTTGATGAACAGCCTGTATGAAAAGAATAGTATTCCTATTGCTGAGCGTTGTATATGATAGGTATAAGTGCAAAAAACCCAGTGGCGATGAAAGACGCTCAGGTAAAGATAAATGGGGGCCTTAAGATGTTCAGCAGTAGAATCCAATTCTTTTCAATGCTGGCTGTTCACAGCCATTACACTACAAATTGTTTTTTGAATCCATACTGTATAGAAAAAAGATGAAGTAGACTGGGATGAGTATCCAGGTAGGGGGATAAAGAGTCTAGAGGAAGGAAACTTGAAGAAAAACTGGGGGAGGTTTACTGTTCTTCAAGACTTGAAGGAGCCATGCAAGAGTGGCAGGTGGGAGAAAATTGATATGCCTGTGTCAGGGGGGAAACAATTGCCAGGCTTGGAGAAGGAATGTGCCCCATGAATTGAATTAATG